AATTTGTTCCCAGCTGCCTGAGACCCATTTCTGCAAGGAGCTGAGCCCTGTGCCTGCTGAAGGGCTTGTTCCATCCCTGCTCCATGGGGCAGGAGCCCGTGACAGTGGCTTGCTGCACTTAGGGAGCAGTGTGGCACTGGGGTGTGACACCTCTGGCCACAAACACATTTCCTTCCCTCAGAGTCCAGTGTGTGGCCTGGGCAAAAAAAGGGACAGCAGCTTTTCTGTCTCATGGGAGGTGACACCTGGAGAGGGCACATGGGAGTGTTTGGAAAGGAAAAAGCCCCTTGGGGTTTTGGAGCTGGGCTGTGTGATGTGCTCTGGTCCTTGGCCAGGGGACAGCAGTGACATTGGGAGTGTGGCACTTGGGTGTGGGTGATCCAGCCCTGCTGGGCTCCAAGCTAAAGCCACCAGGACTCCTGTGCCACCAGCTCACTGCTCCCACAGTGTCTGGGCACACCCTGCTCCTTCAGGGGCAGGCTGGGGATCCTCTGGCTCAGAGAGGCCCCCAGAAAATTATTTACTCCTTCTTTTGCCTTGTCATATTCAACGTGGCAAAATAGCAGACAATGGCCTTGGCCTGGGTTCCAACAGGACTGTTTGACATTCCCTTTCCAGCTCTTTTAAATGTTTGCTGTATCTTTTGATGGAAATCTATAGGTTTTTCAATTCCACGTGGCAGAAGGGAAGACAACGAGGGGATGTCCTGAACTGCTCAGGGGCTCCATCAATATTTAGGGGAGACCAAAGCAGGTGGGAGAGGGCAGCAGTGCAGAAGGTTTGATGAGAGGCAGAGGCTGCCTGTGGTGAGTGCACAGTGTGTTTGTTGTCATGCCAGCCTCATGCCAGGGCTCTCAGCTCTCTGGGCATGCTGGTGAGAGGACTCCAGGCTGTGGTGATGGTGCCACACTGCTTGGTGTGAGGGGCCATGGGCATGCAAGGGAAGAATCCCCCTCCTTGTGTCACTTGTGGGTGTGTAAACCATTGGAAAAGGCACTGGCAGATCTCTGTTGGGTGATGTGTTTGACAGGGAGCTGGGATCTGCACTGAAGCTTCACTGCTTTGATTAGAAGGAACCTAAATAGTTTCAAATTTACCTAAATCTTCCTTCTTCAGCTTAATTTCTCTGTCAATATTTTTGGATGCTTAAAGAAAAATGTAGTTTTTTGGTGTCTTCTTTTAGAGAAGGAAAAAAAAAATGGAAGACTGATCAAAATTTGATTAAATATTTACAGCACAGTTTTATTTAGAAACCGGCACTTTATCAAATTAAACAACCCATTAAGCTTGTAATCATGCTCTGTGTTTTGGGGCACAATATCTTTTGCATCTTTTGAAAGGAGAATTTGTGTCATCACTCAGCACGTGCAGAGGAGAAAATAATCTTCCATTGCATTGTTTCATTTTAATGCTGTCTGAAATAATATTTTCAATATCTTTTTTCATTGTTTATTTGCATTCTTTTTCTGACACATGACTTACAGAGGAAATTTGAAATCAAGTCACAAAATTGAGATCGCTGATAAGCTTCTGAAACTCCTTAAGTATTCAGCTTGAATATTCTTTCATCAGTTGGTTTGAGTAATTGCTTTTTCACTGCCAGCAGAGGAAGTCATTGCAGTTTTGAGCATTGCTGGGGTCTTGAGGCTGTTTTAAGGTGATCAAATACCTCAAGGTGTGGCTCTTGCAGAGCAGCAGTGTCAGCTCTGGGGGATGGCGCCCACAGAAAGGCCAGTGAAGGCCAGAAGGAGGAATTGAGTCCTGGATTTCTGTAGGGAGCAGGGATGTCAGAGCCCCTCCCAAACCCTGGATGGGAGAGGCGATCCCTGAGCCACAGCCTCTGCTGCAGAGTGCTGTCCCCACAGCCGAGGCTGTGCCTGCCACATCCCCAGGGTGGGAATTGAGTCCTCTCCCACATTCCTCATGCCAAGCAAGGACCCTCCCTGTGTGAGCCAGGTGATCACTGCAGGGCTGCTTGGTAAGTCAGGGTACACCTTTATTTATTATTTATTGCCATTCATCAGCATTGCTGAGTGCGCAGTAACAGTGTTTGAGCAGAATTGTGCTCCTCCCCAGTCTGATATTCAAGGGAAGTTCTCCTGCTTTTGTTACCTCTAAAACTAAGAGAGGAAGGCTGCTGGTTTTTTGAATGATGTTTTTTGAATGATGTTTTTTGAATGATGTTTTTTGAATGATGTTTTTTGAATGGTGTTTTTTGAATGGTCTGCTTCCTATGAAAGGCAGACTTAGAAATGCATTGCATTCATAGGCTGCAAGATGCAACAACGTTTTAAAGCCCTGTATCCTTCTGCAAATGTCATCTTTTTCATGGAATGACCACAAAAAGTGGGTTATTTGCATTAAGAGATTCACAATGAACGTCTGCAGATCAATCTTACAGCATATTGTCACTTGGGGATGACCAAAGACAGACCCAACACTTCCAAGCTGAAGTGGCAAAAGCAGAATCTTTATTACACACAGCTTATATTTAGATGATTATTTAGATTGTTATTTAGATGATTTATGAATATTATATTTATATGGTTATCAGAGGGCACCATGATTAATTCCAGTTGTTCAGCAGCTCCTTGTAATTCATTCCATTGGTTGGTAATGGCCAGTGTAGATGTTCATCAAAACTTTTCTCTCTAGCCATGTTTACATGTTTGTCAGGTTTTACCTCTGTGTGACTGTGGCTGTAAAGGAGGGTGACTGCAGCAGCAAAGCCATCACTGCACTTTGTGTGTTGGGAGAGATAAGGTTCTATCAGCAGAGCAAGCAACTGAGCAAAACCTATTGTTGTTTGTGGGTTGGAAGGCAGTTTGATATCGAAACATAAAAAGCCATGCAACCAGATCATTCTTTGCTCTGTGCCTCATTCTTGGAATTAGTGCCCAGCTTTTCAAAGTTGTTTTCTGTTACTGCTGACAGTTCATTTGCCATGAGGAGCCCAGGCATTTCCTGGCATCCTCATCCTCAGATCAGCTCCAGAGTCAGAGCCTCTGAGGATCTCTATAACTGCTGGTACTAATTCAGTTTCTTTATTCCTATTAATGACAAGTAATGGAGCTTCCTGCTTTGCCTCTCATGTTGCCATTGACTACTTCCAGGTTCTCGTACTGGTTTTCCACAAACCTCATTTTCCCCTGCAATATAATAGTCATACACAAATCTTTCCAGTGAGCAGTGTGCAAGAAAATATGATCCAAAAAATACCCAGAGCACAGGCCAAGTCTCTTACACATGCAGTGCAGTTTGGTTTCTTTCTGAGCTAATTCCCAGTTCACAGAGTAGGAGGAATATTCACAGGTGTCACTGTAATGTGCTGGTTCTTGGAAATTCAAAATTATGTTCTTTCTCATAAACTGGGGATAGCATATGTAACCTTATGCTAAAATTATGCAATGCATCAGTGAGCTATTCTTTTTTTTTCAGAAATGAATATTGTTTATTAGATGAGGTATTTCTTCATCCCAAATTTTCAGAGCACAGTTATTTCCTTGGTGAATATGAGTAATTCACACATATTCTGCTACATTTCCTGTTTGATTCTAAGGGAAATACTTGCAGCATCCAGCTTAGAGGGTCTGATCCCTAGTGGGAGGCTGACATGACTTGAAATACCAAAGAACTGAGGAAAAGATAAGAAATATGTAAATATTGCAGTTGTTGCTGTCAAAACTCATAGACTCATTTAGACTGGAAATTATCATTGAGTTCAAACATCAGCACTGCCAAGGCCACCACTTTTTGTCCTCAAGCACAACATCCAATGTGCTTTAAACCCCTCCAGGGATGGTGACCCCACCCCTGCCCTGAGCAGCCTGTCCAGTGCTGGGTAACCTTTTATGTGAAGAATTTCTTCCTAATATCTAACCCAAACCTGCCCTGGCACAGCTTGAGGCTATTTCCTCTTGCCCTAATACTTGTGAGAAGAGACCAACCCCACCTTGTCCCACCATCCTTTTGGGTACTTGTGGAGAGCAGGAGGGTCCCCCCCAAGCCTCCTTTTCTCCAGGATAAACAACTCCAGCTCCCTCTCCCTTACACTGCTGTAGGATGCTACTAAACACTGAAATGACTGGGGTGAGGTGAAGTGTTAGCAGCACATTTGCATGGGTGGGAAAACCAAATGAGCACTGTTAAAATTGAAATGAAACCACCAGTGATGCAGTGGGTTACAAAACAGGAGAAAGCTTAAACATGTATGGATATTTTATAACTCCATCATAGGGTATTTTAAAGCACAGGGCAAGCAGCAGTGAGTAAATATTTAGGGCTATAATTTTTGCACAGTGTTTAGTCATATATTAAATGTTTACAATATACTTCTCTCCCAGAATTCAGCCTACAGGGAAGAATATTCTGTTTTTCTGGAAAGTGCTTGTCCAAGTCATAGAACAGGTTGGGATGTGCTTATTTGCCCTTTCTACAAAGATTGCAATGCTTGCCAGGAGGGGCAGGTGGGGAGGGGGTTTGTCTGACCAGCCAGTTACACCCCCAGGTGATGACTGGAGTTTGTAAATTAATAAGTCCTGGAATTTGTTCCAACAGTGACTATGTTGTGAATTGGGCACTAAAGCAGGAGTTGTGGGTGCCCATAAACAAGCCCAGCTCTGAGAGCTGAGTGCAGGGATGTGCCTGCAGCTGTGCCTCAGCTGTGCACAGGGGGTGGGAGTGCTTCTGGTGCCTCACACTCATTCCTGCTTCCTGTTCTCCTCCTACTTGAGGTGGCCTTTCAAGTAGATTTACTTCCTAAATAAAAAGTGCTGGACAGTAAATTTGAATTGCAGTAATAAAGTAATTTACTCACTCTTGTTCTGTCTGCTATAGACCTTGAATAAGAATGGATGTGCATTTAGAAAGCCTGACTACTTCCTAAATCTTGAGAATGTGGGATTCTGTTGGGTGCTAAATACTGCAAATTAGAGCATGCATTTCCTATAAATGTTCAACAGTTTCAGATTGGCCATGATTTGCCTTTATTTTGACTGCTACCAGCCAGGACTGGACAGCACACAGACACTTCTTCCATTTGATCTGCAAACTCAGATGCAACAACTACTTTGTTGGAGGGACAACATGACCAAGTCTTTCTCACCCAACAGCTGACTGAAGGACCCAGCAAGCTGCTCCTGGATGCAGTGGAAGGTTGGATTGCTTCAGCAGCCCTGACCTGCCCCCAGCATGGTGATGCTTGGAAGGAAATCCTACAACCTGAGCACACACCCAGCTTCTTGCAGTCATGCTGTCCTGCATAAAGGTATGCTGCTCTTTTATACCCTTGTCACTGCAGTGATGTGGATATGTTATACCCACCCTCTCTGCTTTTCATCTGTCTGTCACCAGCTAGCAGTTGTTGATGATTTATAGGATTAGATTTCAGAGCTCATTAACCAACATAAGAGCATCTATGTGCTAATTTCATCCTGTCAAATATTATTTGTAATAAACATGCTGGTAATTTCACCCAGTGGGGTTTATTGACTAAAACAGCAATGAGGCAGTGCCCACACACTGCTCTGCTGGGTCTGTCATTAGTGAGCAGGCTGGGTGGCACAGCCCCATGTGCTCCTGGAACCCTGCTCAGCATTTGTCAGATGGGAGAGCCTGATTCAGCAATCCCTGCTGCTGTCAGTGGAATGGTGACACTTAGAGCCCTTCCTTTCCCTGGTAATTCCAATGTCTTTAAAAGCATCCTCAGAACACAGGCCTGTACATGGGTATTTTCTTTTTACCTGAAAGCTCATGCCAGCATTTACAGCTTAGGCAACAAATGTTATTTATTTTGAGAGCCTAAGGGACCATCTGTTAGCAAAGCAAGGAAAATAAAAGAATCTGAAGGCACAGTTGGTCCCATGGCTCCAGGCTTTGGATGCTGGGACCCAAAGTTCCTTTCAGTAATGCTCCACACTTGCTCTGAGCTATGGAATGCTTGGGGGTGGCGTTCTCAACCTGCCTGATGTTCTTCATGCCACCCAAGCCCACCTCTGGTGTGTGGTTTCTCTTCCTTTCAGGAAGCAAGGCAAGGTTCTTAATCTCACATCCCTGCTTAGGGCAAATGACTATTGACAGGAAAAGCTGCATTAAAACAGTGCTTGTCTTACAGCCAACTCCAGAGAGTCAAAAATCAGTGAGTAGAAACTCCAGAGAGAAATAAGGACATACCTTGTGAGGCTGGATGCTGAGAGCTTGGGATGGGACTGTATTGTGACAATTGTGACGCTTGTGATAACTGTGAAACTAGAAGACAATCCAAATTCTCCATGATAGGAGTGCTGGGGTGAAGGAAAGAGGGTGGAGCTGGAGAAGGCTGTGCATGCAGGGCCAGGGGTACATGGGATGCATGTGAGCCCCAGGCTGTGCCTGTACAGCCACAGGGAAGGGTTCTGGAGAGAGCTGTCTCCTCTCCAGGCTGCTGCTGGGGATGTTTGGGGCAGGAGCCACCTCCACCACATCCCACACTCCCACTTTCCCTGGCCACAGAGTGAGGAATGGGCATCAAGCACCAAGGATTTGTTACCGGACTCACCACTGTTGTGCCAGCCTGGGGTGTTTTGTTACAAAGGCAGGCTGGTGGTGCAATATAAACAACAATAAACCCTGCTGGCATAGCAATTCTGTGGTTAGGCCAATTCCCCATATTTAGAGAAAATGATTTCTATGTATTTATTAAAGTCTGTAGCTGCTGTGCTGAGGATTGATAGCACTGGTACCCACTAGATGAACAGATGGTGCTTCTCCTGTGTTTTGTTACTGCTGTCACAGATGGGAGAGCTCCTGCTTGAGGAAAGCCCTGCTTGGCATGTGCTACCTGCTGGGGGTTGGGATGAGGAGAGCAGCCTGGATGTCAGGTCCTGCAGTCTCCATCCAGGAGCCCATGGTCATTGCAAGCCTCCCCAGTGGTCAGGGCAAAGCTGGCTTAAGAGGAAAGTGCCATGAACCTTCTGTGCTTCTCTTTGACACCTCTGGTCTTCCACCCCAGCCCAGGCAGATTTACAGAGTGAGGGAGAGAGGCTTTTTCAGTGGTGGAAGCTTCTACAGCGCTTCCCTGCCGTGGTGCACCCTCCACCTGCAGGGCAGGGTGTGTGCCACCAGTGCTGTGTGCCCAGGTCCTGTTCATCCATCCAAGTACAGCCCAGTGCTGTATGAGCAGGGCCCAGTGCTGTGGGCCCAGTGCTGTCCATCCATCCCAGCAGAGCCCAGTTCTGTGTGCGTCCAGCCCTGTCCATCCATCCCAGCAGAGCCCAGAGCTGTGTGCACAGCCCTGTCCATCCATCCCAGCCGAGCCCAGAGCTGTGTGCACAGCCCTGTCCATCCATCCCAGCCGAGCCCATGGGACCCAGCCAGGGCAGCCTTGCCTTGCCCCTGCTATTCCTCCTTGGCATTAACCCACCAGACTTGGCTGCCATGCCCTGGGTTTTCCCAGATATTAACACTGAGGGCACATCTATCCTGAAATTATCTGTCCTGAGCCCTTAATTTGCAAGTCAGGCAGGCTGAGCTTTTGTACTGCAAAGGCACATGTGGCTTTCACCTGAGCAGACTTGTTTTAGAGTAGCCAGAGCTGCTGGGGATTGCATTGGGAAGGAAGTTTTGTGAAGTTTTTTACAGGTTCCTCTCCATTCTGCTCCCTGAGCAGCTCTATAAGCTTTGTTTGGCACATGATAAAAGCTCTTGTGTGGTTTGGCAGCCAGTTGTCTTGTCCCAGTGGCCAGGCCTGCAGCAGCAGCTCCCAGCTTAGCTCCTGTGCTGGCTGGGGGCATCTCCTCACTGGAGCTGTCACACTGCCAGAAAAATGCTTCAGCAGCTGCAGTCTGACTCCAACTGCTCTTAAAATCCCATTTACAGGATTTCCTCTCTGCTTTGCAGGGAGACAGTCCTGAGCAATGTGCTTAGCTGTTTGACAGGCTCTGCTGGCAGCTTCAGCAGTGAAACATGGCAGGAAAAGGGCAGGATGGCCCGTGACCCTAAAATGTTCTTGCTCCTCTGTGCTTGCCATTGATTCTGCTGCTCAATTTCCCAGCAAGACTAAGTCTAAATCATTTATAGGTAGGCATCTTTCCTGCTCTGAAAAGCTTCTTAATAGATTTGTAACTTGAAGGAACATTTTCCATTTTTTTAATGATAAAAAAAACGTTCAGGAGATGATCACCAATATCAGCATTTCTCCAAAGGTCACAAGCCTAAAACTATTCAGGATTAATTTTTATTTTTACTTAATATATAATTTGAATGCAGAAGCAAAATAATGACAATGAAATTCAGAAGAATTTAAGCAAAATGACTTTGTTTCTATAGAAGCCTGTTAATGAGCAGAGTATTGATATTCACTTTAGGAGTGGGCCTTGAAAAGTTCAGTAATAGGATTTCTATTTTAACTCTACTTCTTTGAAGCTTAATTTACCTCTGCAGCATGTTCAGCTTTGAGGTGAACAAGCAGTAAAGAGGTTGTTCTTTGCTGGGAAATGCTTCTGATATTTCTGCATGGTGACAGGGGGACACCCAAGATCCTCAAGGGGACACTGTCCCTGCACTGACACCCAAACTCCTGAGTGTTCCAAGCTGGCCATGCAGGTGCTCAGGGTGCTCACCTGGCTCAGTTACAGCTTGCCAGCTCTGCACCACCTTGGACCCACAGGCTCCTATTTTCATAGATTATTTCTTAGCTGAATGGAAGTGTATTTATTTCCAGGACTGTTTCTTTTTTCTGGAAAGGTTCACCAACCATTTTTAATCAAAGCCCTGGCTGCCCCTGCATCACCCCCAGCAGTCCCTGCTCTCTGCTCTGCTGTGTGTGTGGCACTGAGCTCAGGCACAAAGTGACACCCACTGCCCAAAGCAGTGCTCTCCAGCCAGCTGTGCCAGGAGGGATCAGTCTGGGTGTGGTGCCAGGAGGGATCAGTCTGGGTGTGGTGCCAGGGATCCATTTGGATGTGGTGCCAGGCGATTGGTCTGGGTGTGGTGCCAGGAGGGATCAGTCTGGGTGTGGTGCCAGGAGGGATCGGTCTGGGTGTGGTGCCAGGAGGGATCGGTCTGGATGTGGTACCAGGGGATCAGTCTGGGTGTGGTGCCTGGGAGGATCTATCTGGGTCTGATGCCAGGGGAACCCATCTGGGTGTGGTGCCAGGAGAACCAATCATGGTGTGGTGCCAGGGGAACCAACCTGGCTGTGTTGCCAGTGCCCCCACAGCGGCCAGAGTGGGATGTGTGTCCCGAGCTGCAGTGCCCACTCCTGCCTTCTCCTGTCTCCCAAAGGTCCCCACCACCTTACCATGGCAATTTAAAGAATGACACTCAGCTGATTCTCAGTACCATCTGCCTAAACAGTGCTTTTTCTAGAAAGTCAATTAAGCTACAGTGCTTCTTTGCTGAGAATGATGGCTGCACTCTGATGAGAAATGCACTTGATAATTTAATAGGCATTTTGTCTTTTTTCCTAACAAGATGTGTTGATTTCTGAGAGGTCTGTTATTCACAAAGAGAGGAAAATATATGAACTGAAGTAAAACATAGAATATTTATTAAGGTGAAGGAGGTTTAATCTCTCTGAGCTAAAAATAAAACTTGTGAGCTATTCAGACTATTGGCATTTCCTAAATTTCTTTATCATTCAGATGTTGGGACAGTGGGTGGGGAAAATGGAAGCTATTTAAATTAAAAAGAATTGTTATGAAATAATGGAAATAATAATGTTTTGAATTTTGAAGTAAAAAAAGAGTAATTTCAAGGTCAAAGTCAAAATGTTCAATAATTTTTTAGGGCTCCAGTTTGAATGAATCAGTCCCAATCTGCAGGAGGATTCTTGACATTTCAGTTCACAGAAACTGAAACTTTGGTGCTGGAATATAGAACATTTTCCGAGTCTCAAATGCAATATGTTTGGAAAACACTTTTCCACTCAGCCCTGGTAAAACCTCCAAGGAAGGGGGTGAAGACACAGGCTCCCTGCCAGAGAACATGAGCTTTGCTAGACCAGCATCTCCATATTCTTTCTCTTAGAAAATGCTTTTTCCTCCGCTCCAAACAGTGGAGGGCTGGAGGGAAGAGCAGGAGACAGTGACACTGTCCCATGCTGGCTGGAAACCCTGTGGTGCCTCTGGGGCACAGAAGGTCTGAATTTAAATCTCCCTCTGGTTTGGATCTGCTTCAAACAAATACCTGAAAGCACTGCCCTCCCCAGGGCCTCTCTGCCCAGATCTTGCAGGCAGACTCAGAAGAATTTGACTTTATCAGTGATTTATGCCTTGGAATGGAGACTGA